TACCATATTTATATTAATCATTTGAAAACAGCAAAATTATATACAAATATAATTTTTATAAATTGTTCTAAATTATTACATCCTTACAACTATAAAAGGAGTTATCAAATTATACAACATTTTAAATAATTTATTTATTAAAGTGATTGAATCAGATAAAGTAAATAATTATTTTTTCTGAAATTCATTAGTGAACCACATTAGGTAATTTTAGATAAGTTTGAAACTTGGCCCATAAAATTGTTTATATTAATATTTTAATAAAATATAATCATTTAAAAGTTGTGCAATTAATTTTGAATCAAATAGATTCAACCTCAAATAGTAAAGGCCAATACTTAACAATGATTTATAAATATAAAAAAAGCGAAGGAATTTTAATTATTTAAGAAATTTAAAATAATTTGCTTTTCTATTAATAAAAAAATTTTAGGCTTAATATATAATGGATTAACTCAATTTAAGAATGAAAATAAAGTACTAAATTTGATTTGACACAATAAATTAAAATAAAATTCAAGGAAGAATTATTTTATGATAATACTCATCATCAATTTTTTTAATAGTAAATATTATGATCTATATACAAAGATATATAAGATGTATAAGTAGGGAGTAGATTAGAGGATAATTTAATAATTTTTAAAACACCAAAAAAAAAAATAAAACTCACAAAGATGTACTTGAGAAATACAGAAATTGAATCAGTCATAAAACAAAAATGGATGTGCTCAAATCTACAAAATTTCCTTGTTGTTAAAAATCTATCTGCTCTACATGTGAGAATATATTTTGTCAGAAATCCAAATGTTTCTTTAATATCAATTCCCAATGTCATTATAAATATACAGAATCATTTCAAACATTTGTACCAGAGCCTTCCTGTAATGAATTTATTACATTTAATTAACTTATGAAAACAAACAAAAATAATTTAGCTTATGCTAAAAGATTCTCTGTTTGGACAGTCAAAGAAATCACATACTTGAAATTAGCTTAAGAATTTAATATTCCTGCAAATGTTATATTGATTTTTATTAATAATGATGAATTAGTGAAAAAATATAGCCAATTATAATTAAGACTTCTAATTTTGTTAACATGAGTAAGAAGTTAAAGAAATAGCTATTTAAAGAAGATAAAGAGACAACTAAATAAAACAATAATACTAAAAATTCTAATCAAATTATTTGCATAATTATAAATTAAATTAACAATGAAAAAATACCAGGAATCAAATGTGATTCTAAATATACTCATCCGATTGTAAATAATTATATTATAATCTTCTTTCAAATCCACTCTAGAAATATTAAAAAAAATAAAAAATACAATTTGTTTAAAATTTGATGAAATCTGTAAAACTAATTATGATTGTTTTTTATCCACAATTCAATATATAAAAGATTAGTTTATAATTGTCTATTTTTGGTATCCAATCGATTAAATATTTGATAATTTAACGTAGAAATATTTTTATAATTATATTACAAAAATATTTTTCAATTAAAAAAATATATTCAATATATAAAAGATTTAAAGAATTTTCGGTTTTTATTATAAAATTATTGATAATTTCAGCAATTCAAATATGTATTTATGTTATTTGTGTCTTAAAATGGTTCATTGAATGATTCTTGTAAATCAAATTGATTCGACTAATTTTAATTATAAATTATACATAACTAGGCTAAAGCTTATAAAATGGAGGTCTGGAAATTAAGTATTGTGGTGCAACAATTTAATCTTAGTCTTCATTAATCTTAAAGATTTTATCCTAATTCATGTCAAATTACAGAGGAAAGTTTTATTAATTAAACGTAAATATTTATTGATTATTTAAGATCCTTTATATTATTTATTCTTGCTGAATTTCATTCTTAGAAAACATAAATTATTATTTAATTTTTGATTTTCTAATATTTCTTTTATTAAAGGTGTTTTTTAAGCTTTTATTTTGTAAATATATTTAACTAAAAAAATTTAGAATTTAAATTTACTTCTTTTTTCCCAAATAATCTGAAATTTATTAAACTTTTTTCTTGATTGTTTCATCTACTTAATCCCCAAGTTTAATTGATCTATTTTCAATTATCAAATTTTTGAAAAGCTCTTTCATATTCATCGAAATATTAATATATTATTGTGAAATATTTTAATGATTACAAAAAATATTTGAAATAAGCATAGGACGCAAAGATGCTGTGATTTTTGAACCTAATATAAGAATCCACAATACATTTTTTTTTTTGATCTTCTGGTAAAGTTGCTTTTAATAATCTTCTAAAGACTTTCTTCACAATAGCATAAAATTAGTTCTTGACATCTTAATCAGTTCTATAATTGAGCTTTTCAGCAATGCAAGTCTATTAATAATGAATTCATACCCATTTGTTCCCATAAATCTATATGAGCTCAAAGAGTTTATCAATCTCAGGTTTCGTTAGTTTTGTTTTATTGAATTTTTAGTCTAGATAATTTTAATATCTCTCTCTGCAATCTTTAGGATTCCTTTCATAACCTTAATTACTAAGTTATTCAGAGATCAATTACCAACCTTATTTTTGGTTGGCATACAAATTAACAAACTGTTACAAGAGGCCATCCTCCTTTAATAGAAAGTACTTTTACCTGTTTTGACCATGAGATTCGCTTTTTACTTTGAGATATGGAGTGTTTTATCATATAAATTATTATCAAAATGAATAAAACTATTTGAAGATATTTTGCTTTTGAATGTAAATACACAAGGATCTAATTATTTTTTAATATAATGTAATAATCTTTCATTTTTGCTCAATGTAAAAATGTAGCTTAAATTCTTTGATGGAGTTAATTGAACCAAAACTGCTATTTATTGTTTTAAATGTCAAAAATCTACAAAAAATGTTACAAATATTTTATCTTGCCTCGTTGCTTAATATAATCTGATATCAATCATTTTTGTTATTTATATCTCAAACTTAATCCATTTTTAAGCAATCAGAAAAAAATTTTCCTAATTATATATTAATGATCTACTGCTAGACTTTACAAAAAAAGGAATCATTCTCATTTACAACATTTAGATAGTTCTTGATTCTTAAAGAATAATTACAATATTTTCTGAAACATGGTAATATGTTGTGATGCTAATTGAGAACTAATCTGATCAATCTAATCATCATTTAAATTTCAGATACATGATTCAAATAAGTTGTAGATTTCTAGATTATTATTGTGATAATTAATCTCAAAGGCATCGAACATTAATAAATCTGAAAGCTTATCTTAGATTGATAAAAAGAATATATAATTCCAAAATTTATTTTTTAGATTTTTGTAACCTCAATATAAAAAATCATATTATATTTATTTAAAAATATATGTATTAAAACAAATTTCAAATAACTTTGAATTTTATAAATAAGAATATCTAAGGTTCCAATTAACTTCTCCACTCATATGAATTACTTTTTAACAAATTTGCATGTTAAAATAATGAACCAAACCTATATTCTGAACATTTAGGCTGTTATAGGATATTTTCTTTGGAGACAACACATCTAAAATATTAGATAAGAACTAAAAACAATATTAGTCGACTTAGTTGTAAATAATGTTTTTGTAAAACTATATGTTATAAATTGTAATTTAAAAAAATTAGATTAGAAAATTAGGAAGTAATTAAATCCATAAATAACAGTTTTGAAAATATAGAAGAGTCATGATATCAACTTAAAGAAGTGAAAAGTAGTAAAAATAATATTAAAGAAATAGGTGATCTGTTAAAAATTTTATTGAAATCATAAACATAATGATTTAATTGCAAAGAATGCATATTTTGGTCAATAAATTTTAAAGCAATTAATACATCTAATCAATTGAGGGATTACCAAAAATCTTCAAAAACAAACTTTGTATGGGTTGGATTAATATATATAGAAAGTTTGATTAAGTGAATGTGTTTGAGATTCTGTTTATTTTAGTATAACAGAAGATGCAAATCTATCCTGGAGAAAGAAAATTATTATTATTTTCAGCAGTTATAATTATTTTATTCATATTAATGAGTGAAAAATTTCATAAATTGAGTAGTAAATGGACAATATCTGAGAAATATAATGCTAGTTAAAACATAGATTATAAGAGAACTATTGTAGATATCTGTTCTTTTTCAACAGTTGAAGAATTAGGATTTCTGATGAAGAAGACTATATATTCAAAATTATCTGATATTTTAAGTGAGCCTCAAAAATGCAAAATGTAATGCACTATAACAATATAGATTTAAACAATTTAATGATGATAATGCAAATGCTTAAATAGAAGCAATATAATTTTTTAAGAATGATATCAAACCATGGTGGGAGGATGATAATAATAAAAATGGTGGAGAAATTCAATTTGACATTTCAACACAATATTATGCAGTTTATGATTCAATTTATTTAGATATTTTATTATAGATTATAGGATAAGCTACAGAAGAATTACGACATGTAAATTAGATCAAATAATTTAGATTAATGGATTAAGAGTTTTAGATAAAATTAATGCTAAACAAGGTAATAGAATAAGAATTGAATTATGGATGGATATTGATCCAAAAGATTAGGATGAATCTATTGGAAAGTTAATTGAATGGATAGATAGTACTTTAAAAAAGCACAAAATTGATATTGATTAAACTTAATTTAACAAAGTTTCTCACAAAAAATGAGAATTTAATTTGATTATTTATAAAAAATTTATATAAATATGGGATCGGTAGTTTGTACAAATAAAAAAAGTCCACCAAGCACTTTAGCTGAAGCGGCCAATCCATACTTAATAGATGAAAATCATGTGGAAGTCAAAGATAATAATGATAAATATTTTGATGAAGAAGAATTGAGAGAATTAGGAAATAATGAATTTAAAGTTTAAAAAAAGGGAAATAAATGTATTAAGTAAAAATGATATCATTATCAAAGATGGCAGTCATTAAATTGTTATTTAGGGTCTGGTTCATTCGGTTCTGTTGAATTAGGCAAGGATATTGAAAGTGGATAATTTATAGCTGTGAAATAATTATCAATTAAAGGATTCAATCCCAAACAAATTTAAGCTGTATATATTGAATCTTGAAGTAGTTAGAAAATTGATTAATTTGAATAGGAAATAAGAGTATTATCAAAATTAGATCATCCAAATATTGTCAAATATTTAGGAATGGAACAAACATAAAGTCATATCAATTTGTTTTTAGAACATGTATCAGGAGGATCAATTAAATCATTACTGGAAAGGTATGGTAAATTCCCAGAGAATTTAGTCAAAATATATACTAAATAGATACTCTCAGGGATTGAGTATTTACACAAAAATGGAATTATTCATAGAGATATTAAAGGAGCTAACATTCTAGTAGATGCTACTGGAGTTTGTAAATTGGCTGATTTTGGGTCCAGCAAAAGATTATCTTTTGCCAAAGAGGAATGCAAAACTTTTACAGGTACTCCTAATTGGATGGCACCCGAAGTGATTAATGGAAAAGGACATGGAAGATTTGCAGATATCTGGTCTTTGGGATGCACAATTATTGAGATGGTCACAGGCAAACCTCCTTGGTCAGATGAAACTAAAAATTAATATCAAATTATTATGGAAATCATGAAAGGTTAGCCTCCAACTATTCCACCAGATTTAAGTTCTTTGACAAAAGAATTTCTGTCACATTGTTTTTAGTAATTGAATTATATAGAATAATAATAGATAAGAACCACATAAGAGATGGAATGTAATAAAATTATTGAATCACCCATTTATTCCAAATTCTAGTAATACTACTTTCTCTGTTGATATTAGTAATATGTTTAAGCCACTACAAAAATAAATTAATTGATATTAAATTTTATTCTTATTTTGATATATAATTATATTAATGGATTAAGATCTTGAAATAGTATAATTGAATAATAAAATAGGAAAAAGAAATAAATGCTATGATGATTTAAAAGGTTTGGAGATTAAGAAAGCATATTAAGGCTGCCAGACAAGTTGTACCTTCACTTAGAGAGAAATTTCATTTTTATTATTCAAGCATCAGTTTCAATATGAAAGCAACAACTTCCACTTAAAGGTTGGTTATTTTAGATTTTTCTAGATTATTTACTTTTGTGAAAAATAAGAAATTATAATATTTTGCCTTTAATTTATGTGATAATCCAATGTGTTAATAATGGGTAAAACAACAAAGATTAAATCAAGATCCATTACCTTTTATATTCATTAACAAAGTATATATTGGATCGATGGATGAATTACAAATGTTAATTGATTTCAAATTATTTGATCCAATAATGAACTAAGGTTATAAATATTAAAATTTTGTATATAGAATATTTGAAACATTGCCTAGCTTGTATGACTCCAAGAGAATCTTTAGAAAATGAGAAATGTTAGAATTGTTAAACAAATTATATTTTCTTTTAGAAAATAGGTTAAGGAGTGAAAATATGTCCAAAATGTAGAGAATAATAAGATGAAGATAAAACAATATGTGAAAAATGTTAGATGGATTGTATTAGAGTTAACAAAATATTTATACATCTTAAAGAAGTATAATGATTATTAATTACATAAAAAGATGCTAATAAATAATATATAAAATTAGTATAATAAATCAGATATTATCCAACAAATAAAATATCAAAAAACATGGACTAACCAATATAGCAATGGCAACTGTCAAAGGGGATAATAATAGTCCCAAAAAGAAGTATAGGATTCCAAAACCTATTTTACCACATAATCTATATCTTCTTAATCTAAATCCACATACTCTTCTTGAGAGTTCATAAGGAGCTGCAACAATTAAGTACAAAAGGAAGAATGGTAATAAAGCTAATAATACTGAAATGAGGATAAGTGTAAGTAATATTTTTGGTATGATCATCATAACTCTTAACATCATTGGATTCTTAAATGGTTACAGATTGGATCCTTATCCTCCAGGAACTATGATTGAAATGATTAGATACAAACACATCCAAATATGTTAAAAATTACATAGTGATAAGATGAATATTTGCCTCTACATAGCCAACAAAATTAATATTTGCATTTGTAACAAGTCATATGATTGCATCCTCCTTTTTTTTGGATTGGAGCTTTACAACTAGGACAATCAAATATTAGATTATCTTTTCTTGCTTACAAATATTAAGCATCCATAGCTTAAATACAATCCATTCCTTTATGATATTAATTCCCACATTAAAAACAAATAGATTATCCACATATACAAAAAAGTAAATCATTTCCATTACCTATTACATAATTTTCACAATCCTTATAATAATAAAAATATATATTACTGGTTTTGGACACCATCTAACATTTTTGTTCTAACTAATTACTTATCTGTTATAGAATCTCTTATATTTTTCATATATCTTTTCTTATACTAAACTTTTTATTTGTTCATCATTAAATGCAAAAGTACATGTAGATTATGGACAAGTGATGCTTAATACGTTGCCTTTCAAAATATTTTATGTGAGATGTTAAGAGAGACATTCACTACAGAATTCATGTTTACAAATTAGTGGGGCTATGAATGATTCCTTTGGTTTCTCAATATAACAGATTTAACATTCTTATAAATCTTTTAATTCTTTTGATTATTCTTCAGGTTTAATTTCTAGTTTTACTTCTGATTACCAAGACAAACCTGAATCTCTTCTTTAAATTATTTATTTTTATTTTTCTTCTTCAGTCACTAATACTTTTAAACCTTCAGTTTTAATTTCTTGAGATATGATGGACTGCATTTAAGAATGAACTGATTTGCCATTAAAAGATTACTGATTCTGTAAAATTTAATGATAATTTGGATCACCAGATTGATGAGAATCAACATAATCTGTACCTTTGCATTTAAGTGGTATACTCTTTCCTAATTTTGGTCCGTGAGAAACAAATAGTTATTATTAGTAAATTGGCAATACTAGTTATTAGTATTGAGGTTTCTGTTATTCGAACTAACACAATTACTCTATGTGATCCATATTAATAAATAATAATATTACACTTATTACTTTATATTATTATCATCTACATCAAATAAATATAATTAATAAGTATTATATAAACATATTTATAATTTCTGAATTTCAAGATCAAAACATTAAGAAGATTCATTTTTTATAACATATTAATGAATATCAAAAAGACACAAAGAAAAATTAGAGAATTATTATTCATCTATTAAGAAGACATATTTATTAAATGTTATCGAATTGTTTAATAGGTTTACTTTACTATTTATTAAAAATATATTAGAAAATTTTTGTAACATTTTTATTATTTTTATATAAATTAACATACTTAGATACAAGATTGATAATGGATATTCATAATCTATTTATAGATAAATTTAAAAGTTATATTAACATTTAATCGAAAATAGATTAAACAATGACAAAATTAGATACAATATATTTAAAATGTAAACCTGAAGTTACTAAGAATATATGCTCAAAAATCAAGAAAAAATGAACTGTTTAAATTATTTATTCTGTTAAACAAAAAGCAATGTAAATGTAGGGTTCCTGGCTAATCCAATTACTGTCTTCAGTTCTGTTAGTGGAATATCTAACAGATTCTTTTAAACTACTACCTTAAAATACATAAATTAAATATGTCTATCAATAATTAGGTAAATTACTCAATTTTTTGAGGACTCATAAGAACATCTAATCTAATATTAGTTATAACACTAAAAATATACTATAAATAGAGCTTAATATTTAATTTAAGTTTCCATAGTACGTCACATTTCGATTAATCTTAGGGAATGAAAATAGCGATCATCTAAGGCTATAAAGGAGATATTGGACATACCTTTAATCTATAAATTATTTTTAAAATATATGCCATATCTCCTTGATCCAATACTTTCAGCAACTGAATATCAAAGACCAAAATAAAGCGGTCCTGATATTGTCCATCATTGGGGAATTGTAGTTACCAATAAATCAGGTAGCTATCTAGTTCATAATATGCCTGAAACTGGAACAGTTGCTACTCCTGTTTCAAATATGTCAAATAATTGGAAACCTTATCAGAACCTAAAAGTTGGAGACAATAAAACTATTTAAGGAATGTTTTAATCAACTGGTCCTGCAGCATACTTTCCCCAAGGATTTGACAAATACATAACGCAAGGAACATGTTTAGGTGCAACTGAGTTAATGAAATTGTATTTGGCATGGTGAATCCTTTATAAAAATTCAAAATATCTAAATAAAAATTATATGAATTTCTAAAGTTTTATGAATTTGTTGATCTTCACTTACTACATAGTATGATTTTTTGATCATTATAATTAGCAAATCATATGAGTAAGATTATATCTTTATCCATAAAAAATGATATTATTGAAGTTAACTTATAAATATTAATAGTAAGAATGAAGTAGAAGTATATACTCTAAGAATAGGAAAACTATCATTAAAAAGATTTAGTTGTTCCATAATTATGATTCATATGCATATTTTAAAATATATTAATAATGGACGTTGATGTAAAACAAGGTCGTTTAAGACCAGTGAGAAGAAATGGATTGATTAATGGAGTGAATCCTTATCAATCTCTTAGTTGGATATATACTCTATTTGATATAGTTATAGCATACATTTTTGCTTTTTAATTTGAAGACACAGGAATGAAGGTATTAATCTTTTCATTCAGGAACTCCAATTGATACTTCTTACAGTTATAGTTACTTGCATAATTTATTCTTGTCTTAGAGCTGCATTAATAGATCCTACAGATTCAATTGTGAAGGAAGAATAATTATCAAAACTACAAGGGTAATATTAAAATTGATATTCAAAGAAAAGAATTTAAGACAGATATAAAATCATATTGTTTAGTATGTTAAGCACATGTATAAGATAAAACTAAACATTGTTGGAGTTGTAATAAGTATAAAATACTATTTATTAGATGTATATCAAAATTTGATCATCATTGTATTTGGTTGAATAATTGTGTTGGAGATTAAAATTATTCTTATTTCTTTGTTTTAGTATTATCTTTAGTTGCACTTAAAATGTTTAGATTAGGTTAAGATTTTAAATTGCTTTATCTTCAAACTAATTTTGATATTTTAGTTTATATTTGTATAGCAGTAGATCCTCCTGTATTAATTGTATTGATATATTTATTATCTATGCATTTATACTTTAAGTAATAAAATAACAATATATTTAGATGGAATAATATATCAACTTATGAATATATAAAATCCAAAAAAGAAGCTAAAGATAAAATGATGAAAACATAGAATGTACAAAATAAGTAGATTCAAAATGAGAGTACTACTGGTTATGGATAATTATTATCAACATCTAAGCGTTTTGATTTAAAATCACAATTATCTTTAAAAACTGGAGATACAAAAAAATCTAATCCAAACTATTTCTCTAATAAATAAGAAGATGAAAAGAAAAATAATTAATAGACATAACAATAATTAACATAAATTCCAAGTTTATTTACTTCTAAACCTACAACACCTGGAAATGATTAAGATAAAAAATAACAGATTTCATAATTGTCTAAACCAAAAGATTTAGATGATTTAAAAGATAAATAAATATATAATTAAGTGATAGTTGAAGATTCAGAACCATAATTAAATGAAAGTTCTGATGAAGATGATCATTTTAATAATGAAAAAAGCAAGAATCATTGTCCATAAAATAGTCATATATCAGAATTACCGAATAATATTGAATAAATTATTGTTAAAGATGATTAAATAAATGAAAAAGATATGATAATTAAATAAGAGATAGATATTAAACCAGATAAAGAATCAGAAAATGAAGATATAGTATCAAATCAATAATCTCTACATGCATAAGAACCACCTCTACCTTCAAAATGTTATACTTTTTAGTTAGAATAATAAGTAGATCCAAATAATATGATGTCAAATAACAATTAAAAGTTATATTGTACTCAATGAATTTATTATTGTAATAATTAATTAATTAAGATATTTTTATTATATAAACATAAGAATTATTATTATTTTTAATTATTTATATAATATTATAAATTAAATTAAATAACAAATAGATTATATTATAATTCATTATTGATTTTAAGGAAAGAATTTATCTTTTAATTTGTTATAAAATTCATCAAAATGAATTTCATTTTTATTTTCAAAAAAGAATTCTAATTCTTTAACAGTGTTAACTTATTATAAATTCAAGACTTATGCCACATATTGAAAATTTTCTTAAATCACATCTAAATCAAGTATGTTATTTATTTTCAAGCATATTAAAAGCAATAATTTAATTAAAGAACTTTCTTTACCCAAACATTTTTCAAAGAAACAGATAGATTCAACTAAAATTCCTCTATATGAAATTTTATATTCTTCAAAGATCCCATATGTCAAATTCTAATTATCTTAGTATTATAATTACATTATTTTAAAAATCATCATTTTATGGTGGTAGCTATTTAAATATCTAATATCCTTTGTATAATTATGAGAATGTCAACCCTATAAATATTGATTTTTCTTAATTTAAATCTAATTATAATTTCTATTTCATCTTTTTATAATCCTTATCTTTAGTTACAAATTCTTTCCAATCTTATTCATCTATATAAAATATATTTTTATCTTAATTTAAATCATTAACTAATTCTTATTTTAGAACAATAGATATTTTACTCAATGCAAAACAGGCCTTCCATAAACATAAATCATCACTTAATTTTTTAAAATTTATGATCATTTCATTTAATTTCTTCAATAAACCAAAACGATATAAAGAAAAGAATATATTATTCCAGATAGAATATTTATCAAAAGATTCAAAATAAAAAGGTAATATATTTAACAATTCTTTATTAATTTCTTCTGAATCCATTACCATAGTTTAATTCATGTTATATAATGTCTTAATCATAGGAGGACAGAGATTCTCATCATCACTGAAATCTGGTGGTGTTTTAGGTGGATTTAAATTAATTTTTGATACATTGGGTTATTAGATTGATGAAACATATGGTCCTTTATTTTATTAACAAATTATTATATTATTATGAGTATTATTGATAAAAAAAGGAGCACTTTCTTAAATTTCAATATCATATTCCTATCTTGCTTTTATGGTTTCACTTATTATTATACTAAATCTCTAAAACTGATTTTAATAAAAATTTAATAATTTAGAATCAAATTTCTAAGCTATTTTTATGTAATCAATTCTACTATTTCTATTTTTTTGTAGTAGTCCTTACATAAATAACTTTAAATTTTATGTATAATTAGTTTCTGCAATAGCCATATTAATTTTCTCTTCCAATTCTCCAAAATTATTAAGATTATAAATAGGTAATTCTTTACCAACAGTTAAATAGTAAATAACTCTACCTAATAAGAATATATCTATCTTTTCATTCAATTAAGTATTGTATAGTTATTCAGGTACTATATAATCCATTTTTGGATAGTATCCAAATTCCATTAAAACTGGCGTATATCCATTGACTAGAATAATATTGTCAATATTGAAGCATCTACCAATAATTTAATTAGAATGTAAAATCATAAGAGCAGATACTATATCAGAAATGATTTTTAATATTGTTTCTTCTTTGGGTTTAATTAGATCTCTTAATATTTTGTATTCCCCTTCATATTCAAAAGCTTTATAATTATGACTATCAGCACTCTTTTTATATTTTCTCAAATTCTTGCAATTATGAGTAAAGTTTAAATCCTGAATAAGATATTTTTCTAATTCTTTTTTCATTGTATTCTTCTTGTAATATGCAAAATATTTTTGACCTTAATTCGATACTTCTCTTATATCAAATGCCATAGACTTTATTCTGGAGGATTCACCAATTTGATTATTATTCATAAATTAAATTGAGATTTGATATTTTTAATATAGTTCCAATCAATAGAAGCAAGATGCCAAATTATTATAATTATTTATTATTCATAATAATTAATTCAATTATGAGATATATTTTCTACCTATTTCATGATTTTTTAAATATATAATTGCCTATTAAAACCATTCACTAAAACCGAAAGGATCTATTCTTATGTATTCATTAAATTGCTCATATTTTGAAATCTCTTTGACTTTTAAAATTTCCATAATCTTTTTATGACATTCAAGTTATGGTTTAAATAGGATATCTGCAAATGCACATAATATCAAACTCTATCTTATTCTTTGAGTTGTTTATATATTCATTGTAAATTCAATATTTTCATTTATAGAAATTAATATTGCTAAACATTAAGTACGATATCCATCAAGAAATTTGTTTATATGGTCTGAATAACTCAAAGAATTATTAAAAAACTAAATTTTAAATAACTATTATTCTAGGAAATCTTAATTATCTGATTAACCCTAAAGAACCTATTATTAAACACATTTTATTTCATTTTCTCTATTAAATGAAACTTTAAAATGATTTACTGTAATTTTCAATTTTTGTATATCTTCACTTATTGTTTTCCAATTTTATTATCTATATAATTTCCATAAATTCATTTCTACCTCATTTTTATAAAAATATGAAGAATTTTCATCTTCTAATTCTTTTATCAAATGCAAATAAAAATATATTTTACCAAAATTAAGTGCCAATATTGTTAAAGATAATTCTGGAGCACCATCTTGACTATAATCTTTAAGAATACTCATCACATCATTAAAACTTTAAAATTTACTGTATTCTAATTTTAATTAGCACTTCATCAATGTGTCTTCCATAATTATAATTCTATTTGATTATCTAAAGGACTCTTATGTTGTTGATTAGAATGACTCTAAAGATTAATGGGATGGAATAATTAAAGATTCCATCAAGGCAGTCTCAGTAAGAATATAAGTGGAATTCTAATTTTCTCTAGATTCTCTAAAGAAAATCTTTTAGTCTATTATATTCTGTTTAGGTTTGTAAATTCTAATTGTTGAATAAAATTATTATATATCTTAATGACTTCCAAGTAGTTTAGCAAGATCTTTAAATTATATTCGTTTAGATAAATTAAATTGAAGTAATCCAATCAGTAGATCTTTTATAAATTAAGAAGGAATTTTAGATAATTCCATATTTAAATTACGAAAACATGTATCTAAACAGTTTTCTTTTAGTTCTAAAGGCTTTCGAAAATATAATTGATAAAGTATACAACCTATTAAGAATTAATCAATTTCAATTCCATAACATCTATATTTTTTATTCAGTAATTCTGGAGGGTATATTATTAGAGGAGATGATAAGCCAAACTCCATTAAGGTTATTTTCTCTGTTCTTTCATTCCATAAAATATTATTAATATGGAAGCATCTTCCAGGGAGATTATGTTAATGCAAGGTCCAAATGGCTTCCAATAACTATCCTATACATATTAATATTTTGAAATACTTGCAATCATTTTCAATCTATTTTCATCTTATGAATGCAGAGATGAAAGTAATATATCAGTCTCAAATTTGAATAGAAATTATTGCTTATTAATCATTTTAGTATGTTATCTTAAATAAGGAGATGGTATGAATAAATCACACATCATAAACTCTTCGGCTATATCTTTATTTGGTTTGTATCTATATGAATAAAATAAATTATTGATACTCATAAACTATTTCATCTTCGTACTTAATAATATTTATTTGAAATCCAAATGATAATATATTTGATCTCATAAAGATTATTTTTGTATTTTGTTTTATAAAATAATTATATTATTGTTATATTCAATTATATTCTATTCAACATATAATAATATAAACAGAATATCCTTAAGAGAATTTATAACTATTTAATATATTATGTTAAATTAAATAAATGGGTTTTCTTGTTTGAATTGATAACATTTGAAAATGGTTTAATTTTAATTAATAAATTACTTAATCTAAATATGCAAAAACATAATATACATAGTTTATCTGCTCATAGAAGGATTATTTCATCCTCCATAAAACCTTCAGTAAGTAGAATAACCAGTGCACAATCAAGATCAAAATCAAATTATAAAACAGTTAATTAAAATCCTTTTGGATTCTTATTTGAATCTGTTATACCTATTATTTAAGAGAAGTCTAATGTACCATTAAAAATAATAGAAAAATACTTTGAAGAGGGTTATTTAATTAACAATCATAAGACAATAGTTTCCACTTTAAAACATGTGTCTGGAGAAGTAAAGAAATATTTACAATATAATTTTATCTAAGTTTAAGAACTTACTAAATCATTTTAAATTTAAGTTAAAGATCCTAAATTATTGTTTCTTATGTATGAGAGTCTAATAAATTTAGATAAAACTATTATTCAAGATCTATTTGTTAAAAAATAATAACTGGATAATTAGGATGATAATAAAGAACATCCTAAACATAATTTTAGATTTGATATTTTAATAAAATGCATTGAAATATTTAATGAACTTATATCTAGTTTAATAAAGATTATAGATGATAAAGCTATTGCTATATTTATTGAATAAATTTGGAAAGCAATTGTGATAATTTTAGATTTAAATACATAATGGTAATAAGATCGTTTTCAATCACTAGTTGATGAATAGATTGAAGGTTATAAAGAGAAATTAGAATAAATGAAAAAAGAATATAAATAATTAGAAGAAAAGTATCAAATGTAATTAAGAGGATATTAATTAAAATTAGTAATTGAATAAAAAAAGAATGTCTCATTAAGAGAAGAAAATAATAAGATTTGTTAATAATATAATCATTTAGAAGATCAAATTAATGAACTTAGTAATATTGAACATGCTAAAGGTGATCTTTAAAATATCAATTAAAAATTACATGAAATGGATTTAAATTTTATGAGATTCAATAAAGAAATATATGATTCTCATTAATAAGCATCAACTTCTATTAAATAATTAGCTAAGTTATTAACAATTAAACCTATTTTACCTAAATCATTTATATAATAAAAATATGAATAATTAAATATTCATTATAAAGAATAAAAACCTTGTATTGAATTAATACTCAATCCAATAATATCCTAAATTGAAATTGAATTTTATCATGTTGATCAACACAACAAAAAATAATTACCAAATGATTTCCTTTAATTTCTATTTTAAAATCTTAGTTTTTATCCCTCTTAATCTGGTGTTGAATTATATTCATTATGGATACATGCTGATGAATAATAATTTGTCAACAGTAGAATTGAATTATTAAACAAATTGAATCAAAATAATAATAATAATGATTATTACATAAATGTATGTTAATAAATTATTGGAATCAATACATAATTCCCATCATCTCATAAAATCATAGAAGAAACATTCAGATATATTAAAATTATAGAATTAGCATTTTTGTAATAAACATCACATAATTAAAATTAATAAAGATCCAGTTTATTTCTTAAATAATCAAGTGCTATTGATTTTTAATTAGAAATTAATTTATCAAAGTATTGTAATTATGTTCTATAACTGTAGTTATTCAACCATTTTGCCTCAATAATTATATGAATATGTAGAATCATTGTCTCAATCAAATATCAAACTTATACAATTTACATATCAAACTATAATATTCCTCTAATAACAAGAAAGACTTAAATGGAATTCCTTTTCTAAATTTTATTTGAATAATATCAATAAATTTAATTATAGATTAGATACAATTGAATTATTCTACAATATAGATGTAATATTGGTAATTAATTTTTATTAATTATTAGATTTGGTAATTGATAATTATTCATTAAAGATCTATGATAAACAAGAAATAAGATGAAATAATATCAAATGAAGATTTCTTTGAATAATTATATTAACTTTGGTTATATCATCCAAGATCTTTGATTAAACCATCAAATGAATTGTAATTAACTTAATCATCTTCACCAACTAATAAAAAAACAGCATCCCAATAACCTATATAGAAATCAAGTCCTCAATTAAGAAAGTAAGGAACTATGCAATCTGAAACATCTCGTAAGAAATGATTTTATATTATTTAACTACACAATAATATATTCAAATTGAATTTATACCTTTTGCTTTCTAATCTATTATTTTTTTTTATTATTATTATCTTATTGATATAAAGATTAATAATAAAATTATTAAAAAGATAAGATTGAAATTCAACTTTTAGATCATTTTCTAGTTTAGATATAAATGTATATCAATTTATGTACAAATATTTTTAATAATTAAATATTAAGAGTATAAAGAATCATCTAAATAAAATTAGAAATTGAATTTTATTTATATAATAAAAATAAAAAGGTATTTAAGGAATTGATAAACGAAATTAATTAAATAAAAAGGATTCATTTCATAATTAAATAAAAATTAATAAGTAAATAAACACCCTTAAAATTCTTAATTCAATTTTCTAAACTAATACTATCTAATAATAAAATATAAATTCCAATTATAGACTATATATCTGCATAAATTAATCTAGAGGATAATTATCTACCTAATAATAATAAATTTCATTATTCTAACCAATCAATAAATCTATAATTAAGTAAATTTCTAAAATAACAAAAGAATTGTCATTTTAAAAGTTAAAATTATTTTGAAAGAAACTATTAGTTTTATATCAATATATTTGATCTAATATATCTAAACTATAAATAATTTTTCTAAAAATATTACAAAATGAAAATGAAAGAAATGATAATAAATTTAAGTCTTGATATATGAAATTAGATCTTCTCTAATAATGCTTAATTATATACAATAATAAAATGAAATTAAACTTGAATAAAACATAAAAAATGAAATTTCGATAAATTTAAATTATAATTTGATATATATTGTATAATTCCAATAAACATCTCATTTGTTCTTCTTGCCACCTTTCTACTTTTTTTGTTGTGAATCAACTTAGACCCAACCATCATCACTAAATTAAAATAATAAATACTCTTAATCTCTTTATTCTTCTTATTTTTTATTAGCTTATGTATTCTTAGCTTTGGATCTATAAAATTTAAGAAGTTAAATTACCCTTTTTATTATTTAGCAGCTAATGCAGCTTCTTCTGCAGCTTTAGCAGCTAATTCAGCAGCAATTCTAGCTTCTTCTGCAGCTTTTTATGCAGCAGCAGCTTTTGCTTCAGCTTTTAATCTAGCTTATTCTTCTTATTATTATTTTTATTATTAAATCTTTTTGTTCTATTTCTTATCATAAACTTCTTCCCAGCCTTCATCATCATCTTCAGGTTGTTATGGTTTTAATTTATCATTTGTAGATTTATTTTTTTATGTTTAAACTTGTTGTTAATTTGTTTATTTTGATGATTTATTTTATTATTATTATTATTGAGCTTATTATTATGATTATTTAGATTATTATTTACCATTTGTTTTAGTATTTTACTAATTCTTTTCATTTTATTTATTATTTTATTAGTTCTTTTTTTCACCTTCACTTTCAGATGGTGAAGATGCTCTATCTGGAGATTTCTTATCTGGGGATTCAGATGATTATCTTTCTGCTTTTTATAGTTTTTTTAATTCTTATGCTTCAATAAGTTTTTATTTTTTTTTTTCTTCTTTCAATAATCTTCTTCTTTCATACAATTCTTCTTTGGTTAATTCTTAATTAGTATTAACATTAGTTTAATTGAATGGTAACTTTTCCCATCCTAATAATATTCTAATATATAGATAGTAAATTTACACTAATGATCCTAAAGAGAGTATATATCCAATACAAGTTTCAAATGGTCTTTAAGCAACTTTGAGTGTACCTAAACCAACACTAAATTATAGATTTGAACATTTTACGCAAAAGTTGCAACAAGACCGTATTGAATTTCTTTAGATAACAATGGCATTAATATAATAATTAATAAGATGACAAGTGTATTAATTAATTTAAATGGTGTTTTAATATATAAATTTCAATCTGTTAATTCATCAGACTCATTTAAGATGAGTCCATTTTCATGATAGTCTCTTTCTTATATGGCTTTGGCATCATGAAATGTTCTTTGAAGAATTGTATGAGATAGAACTCCAATTCTAAGATCCATTTATTTGATTTCTAACTATTAAATTAGATTATTATAATAGATACTCTCAATTTAGTTAGACTAGCTTTGATTCTAATTACAGGAGATTAATCTGTAGAAACACTTCCATGTTCATTTAATTTATTTTGAACAGTTTCAAATTTCTCTTGTATTTGTTTATATTAATCATTCATTTCTTTTTTGGCATTAGTATAATTCTAATATTAAAGTTCTATCTTTTTGTATTCTTCATTTTTCTTTTTGAACTCATTACACTAGATTAAGGAGTCTGCTTACCATTTCACTCATATTCTCATTGATATTATATTCTCTCTTTGTAATTCTGTCTAAGATTTCTCCCAATTCATCACTCATTCTTTCTAATTTAATTCTAGCTTCTGGAAGAATAGTCTTTATTTAATTTGAATATTATTTTGTAGCATCAAAATGTTATCTCCATTCTCCAGCATCTGGTTTTATGACTATTTTAATCTTCTAAGCAGCCCTTTCAACTTCTTTAGCCCATTCTTTTGGATTTACATTTGATTCAATAACCATTTTATCTTCACTTTAATATTTGAATTATAAAAGTTACTCTTTTTGGAAACCCTATTCATTAAATACATCTTCAGGCTCCTCATCTGATGCTACTTCTGGATCTGAATCTGATGATA